AAGTTTTATGTTTTTGAAAGAAAGTTAGAATCTGAGTCACAGGTTACAGTTGCAGGAAGCAAAGGCTGCATATTGCCATTTAAATCTGAAATGGTTTCAATAATTTCATCAATAGACAGGATTATTGATGAGCGGAAGGAATGACTGTATGAAAAATATGCAGTTGCCCTAGCTGTAGCTATATGCAATTGTTTGTGTAGAAGGATTTCTTTGTAAGCTTTGAGATTTAGCATAACATGGTAGAACGATACATAATTTCCTCACAGAACCATGAGACTGGAAAAGATCTTAGGAGGTTTCCTTTCACTCCAGGGAAAAGAAGAATTAACTGATCTGTGCAGTATCATGTACAGTAGATACTTGCCTAATCTCCCACCCTGGAAAATGTCATTTGTGGAGATCCGTGCATTTGGAGAATGCTAATCTGAACCTAATCTCCTTCAGACTAAGCAGGCTTAGTCACTCATTCTTTCTTTTTGTTGGTCTTGTTTTCAAAACCATTCTCATGACACTTAATTGTAGTATCTCAGTTTGTTCCATATCCATCTTGAAGAGTGATACACAAAACTAAACAAAACAGTCCAGGTCTTTACTAGTGTTGAGTAAACTGGAAGGATTATTACTGCTTACATGTCCCAGTTTGATATTTGACTTACTTGCAGTACCTTGGGATTGTTGACTTGTGTTAAATTCTAATCCATTTAAGCCAGTTCAGTGTTGATTTCTATACTACTTATTACTCATCTCTCTGTTTTATTGAAAATGCTTTAAAATAACCTCTTTGTTCCATTATTTTTTCAAGAACTGTTGTTGAGCTGGTGCATCTGTAGTTCTCTGGCATTCATTTTTACCCTTTTAAATAAGTAATAGGAACTATTTATGCAATGTCCAGTCCTTTAAGATTTCATCTGTGCTCTATAAGAACTGAAAGACAGTTATTAACATTGCACCACATTGTATCAGTGAGCTCTTAACTCCTCTAAGTTAATCAGGCCCTCTCTGGTTGAAAATACCTGACGTTGTTATTCTCTTCCTGTTTGAGTCTGAGGCCCTGGTTTGTCTCTGGTATTAATTATAATAACTGCCTGCTTGGATCTGGGTTTTTAATGAAGAGTAATGCTTTGTTTTGATGTCTGTTCATTTTGAATTTTGCTTATTGCAATAATCTAGCAAGTATTGAATGATGTTTAAACTTATAACCATTTCAGAAGGAAAAAATGCAGCTCTTTTATGATAAATAGTATGCAGCCTGAGTTGGTATTGTGATCTGTCTGGTAATTTTGTTTTTTGCATGTGTTAGAACATTCTTATCTCAGTAACAAAGGATGTTTTTTTATGTATTTTGTTGGTCATCAGTGCCTGAATTGAAGAAGAACTTTGTCAATAAGCAAATCTTCCTCATATTTGTCAGGAGAAGAGAATTAACAAAAGGTGGAATAATTATTTATATTCAGCTGGAAAAGTGTTCTATGTATTGCTTGTCTTCTTGCTGAAATTTGCTACATATAAGACTAAGAAACGGAATATCAACTCACAGTTTGTACATCATATAGAACAAATATGGTTATAGAACATTGACTAGGTATGGTTTCTGGTTTGGTTTTGGAAATTTCCCTTCATTGAAATAACTTCCTCTGTTGCTCAGAAAAGTAAAGAAGTTCTGTTTGTAGATGAACAGTATAAAAGTACAATTCTGTGTTTTTCTTGAGTGTTGTCCCTAAAGAGGTATATCCCTGAGGATGTGGTAGGTGATCAATATGAAATACATATTGCCCCATATGGGGAGTATTCATTCAGGTGGAGTTGAGGTTATATTGCAGTCTTGTCTGCTCATGTACAAGGAGGACAGAAACTGGTTATCTTTTCAACCTGATACTCACTGCAAATGTAGATAGTAGATTCAGAAATGAGCTATGATTCTCCTAGAGTCTGAAAGTGGACACATATAGTTGAAAATATGACCATACTAGTAAACATACTAGAGCAGATCATATGTCAACCCCTTGTGTGTCATGGCTCCAGCATGCTCCAGAAGCAAAAAGGAGATGCAGGAGAAAAATGGTAAGAGAGGCTTGTATACGAACTTCTAGGCATTTTCCTAACTTCCAGCCATTTTGTGCTCAGGAACCTCCTCATCCACATATGATTTCTATATATTAGTTATAGCTCCATAGGTTTTTTTTCTTCTATTAACTTGTCCATTCTCACCTGTAATCCATGTGAACCCTGACCACAGCCTAACTATAACTTGTTTCAGAAAACTTTGTCTTTCACTTTCTGAAATTTCCTTTTGCTGTTTTCCCATGTTTTTACTGAGAGATCAGTAAAAGAGAACATATTGGATCTCAACAACAGTCCAAGAATCTCATGATCGAAAAGCATTTCAATCACCTCTGACTTAGTGGTGAATCCTAGCAGGTGCAAAAAGTTTTTTTCTATAACTTTCATTATTCTTACTGCTCTTTGAAACTCTCTACTCCACTGTATCCTTTTTTCAAGATGAGAGGACCTCAGTAACATGCAACATTCTATGTATAAAAGAATAACATAGACGTATACAGCAGCATAATGCTGTTTTCAGTTTTATTCTCTATTCCCAGAAATAGCCAATACTAACTGAATTTGCCCTTCTTACTGCTTTTCAGCACTGAGCTCAATTTTGTTGGAACTAGCAATTTTGAGACCAAAATCTTGCACCTCAACTGTCATAACTAGATCTGAACAAACCTTGTATTGAGAAAGAACTTTCCCTGTGTTCATTACTTTTCATTTCTCATTGTTTATCCTAGCCAAGTATGCCAAGTATGTCTTTCTTTACATTCCCTGTCTTCCCTTTCTTTAATGGCATTGAGTGTGATTATGATAGCCGTGTACACTTTAGACATTTATTTCTTTTCCGTCTTTGTGGATTTTCACCCATTTTGGCAGCAGCAGGGCATGGAAAAATGCCAGGGGGAAAAAAAAAAGGAAAGTAGAAGGAAGAGAAGTAAAATAAGATACCCAGATTGAAATATTGTATAAATGAAATGGGAAAAAGGACAGAAGTTAATAAGTGTAAAACTGCAAATCTGATGTATATATGCGTGGAAAATTGGTGATAGTACATGATAAGAAATGTCTGCTGTGAAGTAATGAGAGTTAAAGAAAAATGATTGCAAGGTTTATTATCTGATGAGGAAAGTGTAGAGTATTCAACCCTAGAAGGAAAAGTGCTTTAAGTTGGGAATTTAAATTCCAGAAATTCAACAGGTATATGTTGTCTTTTTCCTGGGAGAGCTTCTCGACTATAGGATTCTTTAATCTGTTTAACTCAGGGTGAAAACCTTCTATTTGATTATAGTATCTTATTGATTGTCTGAACTAGAAGAATTTCCAATGTAAAAAATTATTTTTTCATGCTTATAATGACTTTATGGCATCTTATCATATGATTCAGTGAATTCAAGGTTAAGCTTGAGAACTCAGAATAAATATGGTCTAACTGGAACTTTGCAAATTGCACAAAATATAAATGTTTCTTTCATGAAGGCATCAATTTAAGTGACAGATCTGGTTTTTATTTATAATTTATTTAGCAGATAAACGATTTTCAATTTTAACATTGCTTAGTCATGGAGATTTTGCTTGTGGGTGCTGTCTATGGTTTGCAATTATTCTCTCTTAAATGTCTTTGCCAGACATAAACTAGTAAAACATGAGAATTAATCACACAAAACTATTACTGAAACATTTTCAAATTGGCTAATGCTTTTTTCTATTACCATCTTTACTTTTTAAAACTTTTTGAAACAAAGAGATATGAGTCTGGGAAGGAGGGAAAAGGGAGAAAAATTTCTGTGGTGATTCCTGGTTTAATGTTTTTCCTGTTATGCATTTCACTAATTGACTGAGGAAATGGAAACAAGCATTTTAAAGTTGAATACACAGCATTAAAGGAGGTGTTTTTCTTACTCTTCCTTCTTCTCCATTGTTTGGTCTTCCCCCTAACTGGTCAATGTTGGTGTCCAATTGTAATCTCCTTGTGATACTTAAGGGAGGTTAAGCAGAATGAAAGGAATAGAGGCAAGCATCTTTCAGTTTTCCTGGCAAAAGTGAGAAGTGATGTATCTCTGCTGAAATTTGGCATAAGCACTTGTGCCATACCTTCATCATTTCACACTGCAAAAGCAAAGGAAAATGGAAGTGTTGTCTACTGTCTGCAAGAACTGACAGACCAACATTATTTCTGCCTGCTCAGCTATATAATGGAATCAAAGAATCATAAAATGTTTTGGGTTGGAGGGGACCATAAAGACCACTCAGTTTCAACTCCCTGCTGTGGGCAGGGCTGCCACTCATCAGATGAGGCTGCTTAGGGCCACATCCAACCATGCCTTGAACACCTCCAGGGATGGGGCATCAACAGCTTCTCTGAGCAACCTGTCCTAAAATCTAACCTAAATCTCTCCTATTTTAGTTTAAAATTGTTAACTATATGCTTTATATGGTAATGAATTCACTGTAGTTCAACATGTGGAAAACTGGTAAAATCGTCAGGAAAAATTATGATGTTACTTTGTTTTCATTTTTAGGATAAGAAAACTACTAAGGATCCTGAGCTTGACTTCTAAAAATAGAATCTGCATTACTGTAATGTAACTTCAAAAACAGATCTATGCTATTTTGCAACCAAGGTTGTCCATCAATTTGTGTTATGGCTTGCTTTGCTTGGCCAGTGATGAGGAAATGTCTGAGTCCTTTGTAAATCCCTTTATTTTAAGTCTGAGCTGGAAAATGGACTTCAGTGCTGGCCATATCTGTAGAGCACAAGATGTTCCACAGAACTGACTTAATTTTATGTTTTCTAACATGGTATGGATATTTCCTGGTCTTGTCATTAGGAATGTGCTACTCAGGAGCTGGGATTTGGCCTGAATAAGTTAATTCACTGTCATAATTCTTCGTAAGGGGTAGATTAACCCAGAACTTCAGCTCATAAAAATGTTTTATTTTTTGCCTAGGTGAAATGGAAATTCCAGATTCAAACAACCCCTTAGGCCATGTCGATGGACTTGAGAGACCAATTCCTACTCCCAAAGGTAAAATTAAGTTCAGTTTTCCTCCCAAATATAATCATTCTTTTTTAAGCACCATCAAAATCATGTTATTTGTTCATTTGTCTGTATACACACTTGTAAGAAAGGCAGTCTTGTGTGACTTCATTGTTCTAAGCAAGGATAGTGAAATCTGTAGAAATGAATTTTAAGTGTGTTTTCAAAACGTGCACTGAGAGACTATATAAATCACTCAAACACATATTGCTTTTATTACCTTCCTGCCATACTGTCTATCAGGATGGTGCCATGTAGCCACGATCCATCATATTTGAAAGGTCATGGAAGTGTGGTGAAGTTCCCACTGACTGGAAAAGAAGAAACATAACCCCCCATTTTCAAGAAGGGGAAAAAAAGATCTGGGGAACTACAGGACAGTCAGTCTCACTTCTGTGCCTAGCAAGATCATGGATCCTCCTGAAGGCTCTACAAGGCACATGGAAAATAAAGATGAGGTGATTGGTGGTAACCAACATGGCTTCATCAAGGGCAAGTCATGCCTGACAAACTTGGTGGCCTTTTATGATGGAGTTACAGTGTCAGTGAATAGAGGAAGAGAAACTGATGTCATCTATCTGGACTTATGCAAAGCATTTGACACTGTCCCTCATGACATCCTGGTCACCAGTCGGAGAAAAATGAACTTGATGGATGGACCACTTGCTGGATAAGGAATTGGCAGGATGGCCGCACTCAGAGAGTTGTGGTCAATGGCTCCATGTCCAAGTGAAGACATGTGGCATTTCTCAGTGGGACCAGCATTATTTAACATCATTGTAGGTGACATGGACAGTGGGATCAAGTGCACCCTCAGCAGGTTTGCAAATGACACCAAGCTGAGTAATGCAGTTGACACGCTAGAGGGAAGGCATGCTGTGCAGAGGTGCCTGGGTAGGCTGGACATGTGGGTCCATGCCAGCCTCATGAAGTTCAGCATTGCAAAGTGCAATGTCCTGTACCTGGGTTGGGGCAATCTCAAGCACAGATACAGATTGGGTGGAGAATGGCTTGAGAGCAGCCCAGGGGGGAAAGATTTGGGGTTGTTAATTAATAAAAGATTCAAGATGTGCTGAAACTGTGCCCTTGCAGCCCAGAAGGCCAAATGTATTGTGGGTTGCAACAAAAGAAGTGCAAGCAGCAGGTCACAGACTCACACAGAATCACAGAATATCAGTGATTGAAAGGGACCTTGAAAGATCATCTAGTCCAATCCCCCTTCTGGAGCAGGAACACCTAGATCAGGTCGCACAGGAATGCATCCAGGTGGGTTTTAAATGCCTCTGGAGAAGGAGACCTCACAACCTCTCTGCGCAGCCTGTTCCAGTGTTCTGTCAACCTTACCATAAAGAAGTTTTTTTCTCATATTTATGTGGAACCTCCTGTGTTCCAGCTTGCACTCATTGCCCCTTGTCCTACCACTTGATGGCACTGAGAAGAACCTGGCTCCATCCTCATGACACTCACCCTTTACTTATTTATAAACACTAATGAGGTCACCCCTCAGTCTCCTCCAAACTGAAGATACTCAGCTCCCTCAGCCTCACCTCATAAGGGAGTTGCTTCACTCCCTTATGATTTTTGTGGCTCTGCACTGGACTTTCTCAAGCACTTTCTTATCAGTCTTGAACTGAGGTGCCTAGAATTGCTCAAGGGAGATGATCCCGCCCCTCTACTCTGCACCGGTGAGGCCTCACCTGGAGAATTGCATCTGGTTCTGGAGTCCCCAACACAATGACATGGAGTTGTTGGAGCAGGTACAGAGGAGGGCCAAGAAGATGAACAGAAGGCTGTAGCACCTCCCTCAGTTTTTTAATGAGCTGGAGTTCTTCACCCTGGAGAAGAAAAAGCTGCAAGGTGACCTGATAGCAGCCTAAAAGAAAGCTACGGAAAAGAAGGGGACAGACTCTTTAGCATGGTCTATGGCAGTAGAACAAGGGGAATGGCTTCAAACTCAGGGAGGGTAGATTTAGGCCAGGTATAAGGAAAAAAATTTTCCTGTGAGTGTGGTGGGGCACTGGAACACGTTACCTAGTGTTATGGTTGGTGCCCCGTCCCTGGAGACTTGAAAGAAAGAAGGCCCTAGGCAACCTGATCTAGCTATAGTGTCCCTGTTCGTTCCAGGGGAGTTGGACTAGATGGCCCTCAGAAGTCCATTCCAGCTCTAAGGATTCTATGATTCTATATTTCTATTATTTGATTAACGAAGATGTTTAGCAGGACTGAGTCTAGTATTGACTCCCTGAGTACTTCATTAGCGACTAGTCTCCAGCTAGACTTCATGCCACTCATCACCACCCTCTGGACTCAGTCATACGAACTTGATCTACCTCACTAATCCAGCCCATACATCTACAGCTTGTCTATGATGAACTTATTAGACACTGTGTCAGAGGCCTTACTGAACTCCAGGAAGACAATATCCACTGCTCTATTCTCATCTACCAGGATAATCTTCTCATAGAAGTTTGTCAAGTTGGCCAAGCATTATTTCCCCTCAGTGAATCCATGATGCTTGCTCATGGTGATTTTCATTCATTTCTTGTGACTGGAAAATGTTTCATAGGATTAGATACTCCAATTCCTGGAAATTGAAGTGAGGCTGACTCAACCATAGTTCCCTTGGTCTTCATCCTTCCTTGAAGGTAGGAGTCACATTAGCTTTTTCCTCCAGTGTTTAGCAACTGGTCTCACAGTGACATCTGCCAGCATCCCTTCAGGACTTGTGGACTTATGTATGTCCAGGTTGCTTAAGTACTCCCCAGCCGGAATCCGATTCTCTTCCACCAAGAAGATGAACAGAGGGCTAGAATCTGCATCTTCCCTGTCTCTGATTCTTAAAGGCAGGTCTTCCTGCTAAAGGCTTACTCAAAGATGTTCAGTACTTAGGTCTTTTCCTCGGCCTGTGTGACAACTGCTGTCTTGTTCAGCAATCTTTCTTTAGTCCAGTATACTTACCGAAGCCCTTCTTACTATTCTTTTTTGAAATTTTGGTCAACCACTTTACATAGAAAAATGACAGATATTCTTGTTAGTGTGGAGAGCTCAAACCACTTTCTCTCTTACCATCAGCAGTTTCAGCAAGGTGAGAACCTGTTGAAATCTGCAAAGCTTTGAAATCCTGGCCAGATGTTCTTCTCAGAATTTATTCAGAATGCTTGCATTTTGGAAAGACCTTGGAATACAGTCATTGCCGTTGTAGATATCCCATGTGAAATGATGTTTTTTTGTTGTGCTTCATCTGAAATTTAAATTTCTTATCTTGACTGTGCTTATTAGAAGATTTTTCAAGAACTTCTGTTAATCTTCCATTATTTCATATTCTTAATTAGATAGAAGAATGGCATATTTATTTTTTCATTTCTCTAATCATGTTCCGTCTGATATCCCACAGGCCTTTGACATGGTCCCCCATCACATCCTCATCTCCAAACTGGAGGGAGGTGGATTTGACGGGTGGACA